CTTGCGGTTGAGGTCCAGGGGTGCACACTGCGATCGGATCCTTGCGGTTGAGGTTCAGGGGTGCACACTGCGATCCGGAGCTTGCCAGACAAGATCGGCGAAGCAGATTGGCAAAGCAGATTGGCGAAGAAGATTGGCGATGAAGATTGGCGATGAAGATTGGCGATGAAGATTGGCGAGGAGGTTGGCGAGGAAGGAAGCAAGGAGGAAGGAAGGAAGGAAGGTGGGAGGGAGGGAGGGAGGGAGGGAGGAAGAACAACTGTGATAAAATCTAAGGTGGGGAACGCAGGACAAAAAAGCATATCGAACGTGCAAAACGCCTGTTGCGCTTTGCACTTGTTTTTGGCCTTTTGGACTAGATGTGTTTCACTCCTTACACCTTAGACCCTTAGACCTTAGGTGACCTGCTCCATATTGAACAGTCCATGTGGAACCCTGAGAACGAAAACAAGCCACCTGGCATACAGGGACTGCACTGAGCTGCGGAGGGGTGGCACTCCTATCAGTCCTATCATACTTACAGGCAGTACGATCTGAGGGTGATCGGACTTGGGCTGCCAAAAAGGCGTCCACCCAGCATGTGGGAAAGACTTCCTTCATACCTGTCTGTTTTCTTTCACGGAGCCCTGACAAATAGCAATCGGCACGACAGACGTCGAGCAGGGTCCAAGATTCAGACTCCGAAAACGGAAGGTGAGGGGAAGGGCATGGGAAGACAGGCCACCACCAGTCATTGATGCATTTTTGTGATGAAGGGGAATGTGCAGAAAAAACTCCGCGGTTTGATCATTACATCAATCACCGATCAATCTCAATGAGCAAACCCGAGCCGCCGGCCTCACCATTGTTGGTTCCAACTGTCGCATTTAGATGCATTCTCCAAATTCATCCCGCTTCTTTGTGTCCAAAAACCAAAAACAAACACATCTCACCCGCTTCTTCCTGCACCTTCTCTCGTGCGACAGGAGTGGCGAGAGCTGCTTGTGGGTTTCACCTTGTGGATCTCAGTCTCCACCTCATTCTTCCACTGTCTCAGGCGCGCTGTCGGCGACTGGCCATTTCATGCCAAGGTGATACATGATGTCCAAAACCATTCTTTGATGTTCACAGGGTTCACAGCTTTGGTCAGCCTTGGCGGTGAGTCTTTCTTGGATTCAGACCCGAAGTAGAAGTAGTTGGAAAAGAGGCGGCGTAAGTGGACATAAATCATCATGAATCGAAGTACACAGGTTATTTGATTTCTCCACCAGACTCAGGGGGAGAGTATTGGGGTACCTGGGTAGTTTCTTTGAAAAACGGAAAACCAGAGATTCTCCAAAAGAGCTGAGCCAACATTCATTGGGTTTACACTCCTGAAGTATTGGTTTTGCGTGCTTTTGCTGCATTCCCGTTCTTTTCCCCGCGTCATTGGCGCCAGGCGCTTTCAACGGCGTCGCCGGGTGCGAGTGCTGGCGATGGCCGCTGGGCGATCAAAGAAGTTTTGCCGTTTAACAATCGTCCAATCACGTGATTTTCCCATCTTACAACTTACATCAACTTACACCGAAAGGGCGAACGTTTGGCAATTTTTCCAGTCGTCCGCCATCGTCCTCGTTTCGAGGTACGGTAAACTGCTATCTTTGTGAGCCACCCTGGCTGGCAACCTGATACGAACATGTTCCAAAGATTAACTTGGAATGGAGTGAGGGAAAACCACCACCGAAGTGAATGAAATCCGAAGTGAATCGGATTCATTTCTTTCCAGTTCTTGATGCGAGTAGCTGCAGAGGAGGCAGTGAGGCTCAGTCATGAGAGCCTGGGGAATAACCATAGCGCACCGTGACGTGTCGTTCGTCCGGCCATCCGCCAAGACCTGGCCGGTGTTGAGTGACGCGTCACAGTAAGCAGGTTCGCCCTTCCGCGTCATTTTTTTTCGGACCCTCTGACTCGACCTTTGCTGTTTTCGGGTTTTCTTTCACTCGGCGGTCAAGAGAGACACGGGTTCCAGCGGAAAAGACAACATATAGGGGATCATTCAAGTGAACGAACCGAATGGCCTGGGACCCGAATGGCCTGGGCCGAATCGGCCGTTTCGGCTCGTTCTCCTCATGAGGTCTTCAAGGATCTCCTCATCACTTTGACGGCGTTCTTGCTGACGGCCACGGGCCTCCAGAAAGCCAAGCGGTTTCGTGCTGGGGGAACGACGCCGGGTGTGGATCTCTTGATCTATGAGTCCCTCAAAGGTTGGTATTATTAGGAATCAGTTGAATATAAGTGAGACCTCCTAGCTACAAAAATGGCCAAACAGGAAGACAGGAAGAAAACTCGGAAGATTGAGCAAGGTGGAATCTGGGGCCAAATAGAGTCGGCACATGAGTCACATCAGTCAGGCTTTTGCGCGCTTCTCTGGTGCCCACTTCCAGAGGGTTGCCACAGTGCGCCCTCCTTGCAGATCTGCAGGTCCAAGTGTTGTGAAACTACGTCTGGTCGAGCTCGCTGCAACTGCCGTCTGAATATCTCGGGAAGTCTTCCAAGGCCCAGCCTTGTTTATGGCTTTGGTCCTTCTTCTTTGCTCCACTCTGGCGGCTGCTGTCAAGCCTTCCTGGACTAGAGAAGGTGGGACCAACCAGGGGAGACGGCCGCGAGACTTGCAGACGGGTGGTGATCTCGCCAGCCCTCGGTTTGAGGGTGTCACACGGCCAAAGCATTTCGGACATGTAGCCTTTGCCATCCTCTTCCCCCGCCCTTTGTTTCATGGTCTGGCTCCCAATGTAAGGACTTGTGTTACTCTTGACAGGGTTAGAGCAAAGCTTCCAGCTATGCTCCCAAGGTTAAGGGTTCGGATGAAGCGGTACAGATGTCTTTTCTGACATGCGGCTTCCTGTACATTTCATCTAGGTCCTTTTTTGTTTCGGGCTGGAGTGACTTTGCAGGTCGATCCGGGCCCTGCTCACTGGGAAGAGATCTTGGCTTTGGCCGGGCAGCCCAGGGAGGCTGAACAGGTATGTTGGATAAAGAGGGATAGGCGTGGAAAGTGGAAAGAGGCTGAGTTTCACCAAGATCAAAGATGACACTGTAGTGGGGTTAGTCACGTTTTTGCAATGGAAGGAATCAATCTAAGTTGTGCAAGAGAACCTCACCCTGAAATGACAAACTCGCCCAGCAAACTATGATCCATGAAGGTTCAGCGTATCTAAAAATTGCAAGCAATATGGTAGTGCCTGTTCACAGCATACATGGGAGGTTATTCAGGCGAGGTGATGCTTCCACGCAACATCTCATCACAGTCATTAGCTTTTTCTTTGCAACGTCTCGAATAAAGAGGTGACTGACTGGTTTGGTGTTAGACGTTTTCTTCTGGGTTGGGAGGGCTGCTTATTGCAGGTCTCTCACCAAAAGTGCCTTGGGTGACCCAAATGCGGTGGCCTTCTCTCGCCATCCGAGAAACTCCCTAAAGTGTTCGGGATCGAGGTTGGCAGCTTTGTCACTAGGGCAGCGATCTGTGACGAAGCTAAAGGGACCAGAACTAGCAAATTCCTCACAGCGAAACCCCGACTAAGACCCAGTGTTGGAGGTTAACCTGTTTGGGGACCCAGTCTGGCTGTTTTGGAAGACCGTGTATGAGGGACGGTATGAGAGAGTCCATCTGGCGAATCGACACGGTGCCAGTGCGCGCTCTCAGTGCAGCTCAGGCAGTGCTCCTCTGGCTGCTTTTGCGGAATGCCTACATCGTTTACCATGGCAGAGTGCAGCGGCATCAGAGTCAGGCCCGTCTTGATGCCCTCGTGCGGGTCGTGCTGGAGAAACCGCCCGGGCAGCCCAGTGTGACTGGTTGAAACTCAAGGACTTTCCCACCATGTCTGCATAGTTTCTCGGGAAGGACACCCCTTTCTCTAGTAGTCCCCCCCTGACTCTGCTCCTTTAGACCTGACCAAGATGTTTAGAAGCGCGGCTTCCCAAGGGAACATGGAGGTGCTGAAAAAGCCTTGCTAGTCGTATCTCAACCATGTCCATCGAACCCGGCGACTTCTTCCCGTGCAATCTTCGGGTTCCGACGGGACGACGGTCCCGGACCACCCACCACGAATGCGTCCGCATTCATTACCGACGGCTTCGAGGCCCGCAAGGGTGTCTGTGGACCTGGACTTTGAAACCCCAGCCGCCTGTGCCAAAAGCAGCGGTCAAGGAGAGGTGGCAAGGGTGAACAATGTCGTATATCCTGACGGTGCAATAAGTGCTGTCTTCATTGAATCTTTGGATCGTTTCCCTTCGATTTGCTAGAACACACATTGATTGCATCTTTGTCAGAGGGGCAAGTAGCTCATGTCTTCCTGCGTGGAAAACTGTAACGCCTCCCAAAACACTGCAACTGCAATAGAACCTGAACTAGTGTGAACATTTAGCGTAGAGATCCTCATCTTTGGGTTGATGTATGTAAGATTTGGGCTCTATCTCCCATATCAAGCTATCCTCTGTTCCAGGAGACATTGCTGGGAAGCCCGGCAGAAGAACTTGGCAGTGTCTGATGTGGTGCAACTTTCGAAAGGAATCGGATGGCTGGTTTTTCAACATGGCGACAGGCTGGCTGTGTATCTGTCGAGGCTTTCCAAGGTACCTTTCAGAAGAGGATATCGAGACACGAAGACCTTTCAAAGATTAGGCAAGTGCAAAATGGACATGAGAAACTAAAAGTTATATAATCTACTAGGAACAAGAAGCTACTGGCATGGCTACTAGGAGCAAAGAACGCTACTAGGGGCTCCTGGCCGTACTACTAGGAACAGGAAGCTACTGAAAACGAACTTTTTTTCCCACCAGCCACCAGCCATTCAGATTGCTCGTTTGGTACTGAGCTTCCACGCCCTCGGCCACGACTGCGTCGCCGTCCACCGGGGCCACGACTGCCCGGACCGAGGCTGAGGAGGAACTACAGAAGCTGCGGAAGGCGGGACGTGGAGTCCGATTCACGTCCTGTCGTCTTCCTTTTTTCCATTTGCTGAATGGGATGACCATTGCTGGTGGATTCTCATTTCCTCCATAGCCGTCCTTGATGTCCCGAGCCCATCCTAGGTTCCCTGCGCTTTTCAGCACCTTGACATTTCCAAGTCATCCTTGTCCTGTTTTCAGAAGCTTCCGTGCTTCGGGTTTGCACCAAACCTAAAGCCATGAAAGGGTGAGCGGAGGAGACGCGGAGGCTTTGCGAAGATGCTTCTTCACCCAGGAACAGTTAGGAAAAGTAGATCGCCTGCAAAACTGCAAAGCCTTTTTCAGAGATTGGTTTCCCCACAGAAAATGAGCAGGTGCAGAAAGGTTAACCGGTTATCCTTTTCTTTCTTGTTCAACTGAGGGAGTCAGTTGAAAAACTGAGACCATACTAGTTGGAAGACCTACGACTCAGCTAGAGCTAGAGAGGATGCGATTTGACTTGTCAGCAGATTCTGCGCCACAGGGTCCTTATGACAACCTACTTGAGGCTGGCAAACAACTTGTAGCTCCACCAGACCGATGACTCTGATGCATTTGGTTGGTCAAAATGATATCTCAATTGAAGCCAGTGCTGGCAGTCCATCATGTGGATGACGGTTCAGGTGCTCCCGACAGACCACCTCCCTGAAACCCAAGCTGGGGCATCCCCGCCCACTTTCAGCTATGCTGCACCATCAGATCTCCTTGACACTTGGAGGGGATGGCCTTGACACCAGAACTGCATCCCTGGACCTGAACTGCCCACCATTCCATGACATGAGTTCATGCCACACAGGTCCACTTCAGCTCTGGCTGAGGTCGGGTGTTGCTTTCCGCCCTCGATGGCTCAAAGAAGAACTCTGACATGCATGCACAGATGATGTTACTACACACTCCGCATGGAATGACCTGTGTCCAACAAACTCACAAAGGGAATGAACCAGCAGGTGCATATTCAATGGGTTTTGACTATCTCGTCTAACAGCTGCTCCCCCGTCCGACAAGCTTGAAACAAGCGACTTTGCAGGCCTTGCTTCGTTGGACATCCCAGGTGACTTAAGCAAATAAATGCAAATTAGACTGGATTCTTTTGAGGTTTTTGTGGGATGAAACTTGAAAAGAGATTCATGCCAACAGAGGCATTGTCTCAAGAAGTAAGGGCCTAAACAAAGCCAACATATCAGTTGATTTTCCTTCTACGATCTTGGGATGTTTGAGTACCCACTGGTGCAAGCTGTACAGTTGCTGGGCAAGAAGGCAGACGGAGTCCGATCTGGGCATAGTGCCATGTCCTCCAAAAATGCGCTGGAAGGCAGGGATCAGACACTGTTAGCCAGTAGATACGTCTGGGTGTGAGGAACGCACACGGGGGGTTACTTAGCGCAAACCCTACAGGAGATTGACCAAGAACGACGTGTTCCTTGGGATGAGCCTTTTGTTACTTTGAGCTGCTAAGAATAGCTTTGACGGCCTGACAACTAAAAGGATACAAACCACTGTTGCAAGATATTCTGCAGCACCTGCAACCACCTCCTACCACCTCCAAGGTTGGGGTATTCCCTTTATCACAGGTTTGTCGGAATTCTTCCATGAACTGTAGCACCTCATGGGAAAAGCGTATCAACTCCGACAACTCTGCTTCACTCTTTGTGTACTTTTTGCAGCAACTTTGTGTATGAATGTACAACCTCCTTCTTCTTTGAGGCCTTCTGCAGCCTTTACGTGGTGGCCGCCTTTTGGGAGGCCCGGAAACCGGGCCAAATCCGGAAGATGGGAGGCACTAGTGCATCGCTACTAGTAACAAGGGTCTTTTTTTGGGCCAAAAGAGTCTTGTGTTAGCCTGCGAACGCATTCCTGAGGCGAGCGCTGCCAGCCCAGGTGCGGAAAAAGGGTGTTGGTTTGGTTGGATTGTCAGGGCGTGAAAAGCTGCTGGCAGATCTATGGACAGGCAGTTGAACAATGTGCACTGTAGATCTGTAGGTCAATATCCAAGAAACTTGGCACATCCAGAGTTTTCTTGTTGGGCTGGACATGTGGTGTCAAGATCCGCGATCCACCACAAGCTGTTTCTAGGCACAACCCATCTTTTCATCAATGCCACCATCTCTTTGCATCTAGGCAATTTTACCAATGGCACCTCCAATGTGAGCGCGAACGATCTGGCCCTCGCAGTGTTGACAGATGCGGCTCTGCAGCGAGGGCAGGAAGGGCTCCCACAAGCAATCCGTGTACGCGTTCAATACAGGGGTAGGTAGTCAGGTAGTCCCTTTCTTGAAAGTGCCATGGCGGTTTGGCATTTGGTACCCTTGTCCTGCCTGAGAAAGAGAGTTTGGGCGGGTTTGGACAACTTGGGGCTTTGTGGGTTACTCCACCCGGCTTCCAAGAGGGTGGACATGCGGTAGCGGGTAGCGGCTCACACGACACGGAACACACGGCAGAATCCTCCAGTTGGATCCTGCGTGTGCAACTCAAGTGGCGCCAGCTGCTATGACCGGTCAAAAACCACGGATCTTTGGTCCTGACCGGACTAACTGCCTTCGTGAGGCCATCGCTTTTTTTGTTGGAGGCCCTTACTACTAGTAGCAAGGACTCTACTAGGTTGGCATCCACAGGTTCAATTTTGGAAGGGCGCTACTAGGCTGATGAGGTGGCAACGCCAGCGAGAGAACACACGCTGGACGTTCAGCATTTCGGAGTCTCAGGATGCCGGGGCCAACCACACGGGGAGTCCAAACCTTCTGCAGATGTCCTCTTCGCGTGAAAGTGGCTTGGTTGCGAAGAGACGTCTTCGCAGGGTTTACAGCATTGCAGCATCGTTTTCCGTTCGATTCCTCCTTGAAGCTCAAGCCTGTCGATTGACAACACGCCCAATTGACACATCACACGCTGCCGCCCTGAGGTGGTTTCGAGTACCACAAGGAACCATTCCCACCTGACTGGCGGCATGATGGGCTCACAGTGTCTCAGCGCATGTGCGGTATGGGGGGGATACTAACCTGTATTGGCAAACGAAGGAAGGACCTCAACGACAATCTGGTCGGAGGCAAAAGGCAAACCAACTTGCGGAAGAGAACGCACTGGTACTATTGAGAGACTTTGCATTGAATTAAACATTTTTCTTCTGTCCCTGCCGACCTTGTGCGAAAGAATTTTGATGACCCTGGGAACAAGTCTGCTTTCCTTCATGTGGACGGGTCAAGATGCCTGCTGGACAATTGGTGAGCAGCAAAGGTCCTAATCCTGTCGGTGTGATCGTGCTTCGGCTGGGTCGGTGTCAACGCCAGATGTGCGTACTTCTCCCAGCGGACGGCCAAAACGTGGATGTTGCTATGCCGAGAACAAGAAACATGAAGAAATGATGGAATCCCCTTCTGAGGCCAAAACTCGGGTCTTGCCAAAGCAATTGCGTCCCGCGTGCCAAAAAGGAAGAATCAGGTCTCATTGAAGGAAGACACGTGCAGACAAACAGGTCTCTCTCTCAGGTCTCTCTTGGCCGGTGCTTCCTTCCAAATTCGCTCGCCTCAGGTTCTCTTAGCTTCCTTGGGCCTCATTGTGGCCGCGTCGGGTGGCATTGGCGGTGGGGGCATCCTGGTGCCGCTCTTCATGCTTGCGCTGGCGCTCACGGGGCGCGTGCGCGTGGCGTGCGTGGCGTGCGCAGCGCGTGCGCAGCGCGTGCGCGGGTGGATGGGAATCGGCTCAAGAACTCTTGGACAATGTTTTCTTGGGGCAACTGAACATTTGTTATCATCTGTTGCTGACGAGCGGACAGTCCTCTACAGGTTCGACCGCCGAGGGCACGCTCGATTGCGCAAGTGTGTGAGTGTTATCATCTGTTGCTTATTGCTTCGTCCCTATTCTGGTGGGAACTTCAGTCGGCGTCCAGAGTTTCGCGGGTGGGGTGGGGTGCAAGTGGGCGCGCGACTGGGGTGGGGGGGCCGATGGTTGAGGTCTCCGTGGGGGACTAGTAGCGATGTCCTTGCTACTAGTAGCTTCGTGCTATACTAGTAGTAATGCCCTTGTTACTTGTAGCGATGCCCTTGTTGCTAGTAGCGATGCCCTTGTTGCTAGTAGCGATGCCCGTGTTACTAGTTTTGGAGCTTTGTGCAGCCACTTGTCAAGCCCTTGCATTTCCTGTGGTAAAAGAAGCCACTTGTCCTTCTGATGGCGGAGAATCTGAAAGTAACACCAACAGACCACGGTGACAAGTTTTCCCGCAAAAATACCTCAATGTCAGAGGTGCTTTATGATATATACCTGGAGCCTGGTTCGATGTCTTTTTTTTAGGTTCGCCTAGAAAAGCCATTCGCCTAGAAAAAAAGTAGGCTCTTGGTAAGGCTGCAGAAATGCACAAGAATCTTGCGATCTCGAGGAGTTCAAGAAAGAGAATGTCAAGAAATAGCATTAAAAATAATTACTAATTACAGACTATGTGATTGCTTTCAGTTGATGGAACCACTACAGCAAATTCAATCAGTTTGCACCAAGAGCCACTGCAAGGAAGTGTGTGCTACTTAAGGGTTTTGGGGTCGTGACTGGGGGTATCAGTCACAAGCATTTGCCGCTGCTGCCACATGTGGTGGGTGGCGCGAAAGACCGCAACGATCATTGAGCTGGAGGCCAGGTCTTTGGGTGACCATGCTTTCGGTGGATCGCAAGAGCTTCCATGAGCTGAGAAGTGTTGACAACTCTTTTCAATGTCTCCTCATCCTCACGGATGTTCCCCTGACTCGGTGTTCGGAGATTGATATCTAGGTCAGACTTTTGACATTCAGGAACGATGCCGCTTAGTGTTTTCCACTGCTTTTGCACAGCTTGTCTTTGTTTTTCTTCTGTGTTCGGTGTGTGTGTGTGTGTGTGACAGCGTGGGTTGAGTCATCCTACCATGTCCGCTACCCTTTACCCATGCTTTTAGATGCTTTTAGCATCTTTCAGTTTGGAAGGTTTAGCAAACAGTGCGCTAGCCATGCCTGGGAAGCGTTTTCCAGATGGGCCCACCTGTGACCAGCCTGAGAGGGTTGCTGAGGATTGGTGGGACTGTCCAATCCTGAAAGAGCGTGTGAAAAGGGTGGGGCGGCTGATAGAAGCTGCTGACGTCAAGAAGGGGGGAAGTGAGAAGCGGGAAAGCGAGAAGGGGGAGGAAGAAAAGAAGGGTGAACCAGAGTGCTTGCCAACAAGAGCAAACGCAATTCACAACTCGCAGGTCATCCTTTGTTTAGCAAAGGACATGGCTCGCCGAGGTCGGCTAGGTGCTGACCCAATCGAAGTGATCTCCAAAATGACTTTCCACTACTACAGCCAGCATCCAGTGTACGCCCAGCTTGTGTCAGATGTGCGGATGAAAGTTTGGGCGTACAATGACGCTTGGAGTCTTCACAAAATGGTGACTCAATTTCGGGGGCCTGTGATGAAGTACACCAACACAAGGGCAACTTGCTCACCGTCCAATGCTTGTTCATTTTTTCTTAACTGTTCGTACTTCCTAGCGTTGTGGGGGGCTATACATGGGTAAGACATGGGTATACTGCGTCCATCCGGTGGCTCAAGGTATCAGAGCTTTCCAGCATCTTCGATGTGCTCAAGGGAGCTTACATGAAGCAGTTAAAGGCGTGACTGGTTACTGGTTACCCACCTCTCCCACCCATTTAGCAGAAAAGGGTTTTCATTGCGTTCTTTTTATCAACTCACCTTGCCCTTCCCTGCCAGGCTCACATGGAGGAGAACGGCGACTCAACTTCAGCTGGGGAATGTGAGATGAAGACTGGAGAGGTTGAGGACAGCATTGGAGTTTGATTGCAGACTTGCCAGGGCTGCTTCCAGGCCAAACCTGTTGGCTGAATGGGATTCTCTCAGGGCCGCTCCTTTGGTGGAGATCTCGGACAGTCCTGTCAAGGATCTTGCCCCTTCCTCTCATGCACTGCCAACACAGGCATTGTCTGCGCGTGAAGCCTACAAGCGCTACCAGGCCTACTTGGAAGCTGCTCAGCATAAGCTGGACACCATGAACTTGGAGGATGGGAAGCCGAAGGATCTGCCAGCTTGTGAGCCGTCTACCAGCGTTGCTGCAGCAGATGTTGTTGCAGAAGGACGGGAGTGTGACAAGTATTGGGGTGAAAGACACAATGGTAAAGGAAACCCTTTTCTGTCAGTTGTGCTTCTTTAAGGCGAAATGGGGAAAAGTACCAACTCACTTTGTTTCGCTTCCTGGATATTGAGGAGCTCCAAATGGTTGGGTTGCTACTGCTGAGCCTGAAGAGTCATTGACTCTGCAGACCTTGGTTGATGGGCCCTTGTCCTCTCCGGCCTGTTGGCTGAACGAGGTGGAAACACAAATGGTTGATTTTAGCCAGGCTGCGCAAGACTTGACTACAAATTTGCCGGAGACTCAACCACTTGAAACCTACTCAGATGGACTACCCCCTTTGCACAGGACCAGTGTGCCACCCTCTGTGCTGCGAGGTGGCAGCTTCACAGAGACAGGTGAGGAGCTGTTCTTTGTTCCTCTCAACCCACCGCAGCCAACAACCTCTCCACCGGCTGAGGAGGTGGAGCCAGTGGGGGGATGTATGATTGGCAACAAGCCGGTAGGGGAACTGAAGCCAACCAGCCAGCCATTCGATGAGCCTATGATTGGCAACAAGCCGGA